TGTCCCCGTGTCCGTGTCCGGTGTCCCCCGGCCCCTCCCCGTGTCCTATTTTCCTCCGCGGCCATGGCAACGCGGGGACCGACACGGGACACGGGGACACGGCGGGGGGGACACGGCGGGGACAGGGGAAGGGACAGGAGGGGACACAGAGAGGGACAGGGGGACATGGCAGGGACAGGGGAACATGGCAGTGACAGGGATGGGGACAGGAGGGGACACAGAGGTGGCAGAGATGGGGACAGGGGACACACAGGGACAGGGGGACACAGAGGGACAGGGGGACATGGCAGGGACAGGGATGGGGACACAGGAGGACAGGGAGGGGACAGGGACAGGGATGAGGCCACAAAGGGGACATGGCAGTGACAGGGGATGGGGACACAGAGGGACAGGGGGACATGGCAGTGACAGGGGATGGGGACAGAGAAGGGACACGGTGGCATCAGCAGGGACGTGAAGGGGACACGGGAAGGGACCTGGGGACACCAAAGGGGACACGGAGGGGACACCATGGGGACCTGGCGACACCATGGGTGGCACCACAGGGACTTGGGGACACCAAAGGGGACACGGAGGGGACACCATGGGGACCTGGGGACACCAAAGGGGACACCGAGGGGACTTGGGGACATCATGGGTGGCACCACGGGGACTTGGGGACACAGAAGGGACCTGGAGGGGACACGGGAAGGGACCTGGGGGGACAGAGGGGACATGGAGGGGACACCATGGGGACACAGGAAGGGACACCATGGGGACACAGGAAGGGACCTGGGGACACCAAAGGGGACACCGAGGGACTTGGGGACATCACGGGTGGCACCACGGGGACTTGGGGACACTGAGAGTGGCACTGTGGGGACACGGAGGGACACGGAGGGGACACCACAGGGACCTGGAGGGGACTTGGGGACATCAAGGGACACGAAAGGGACACCGAGGGGACACCGAGGGGACTTGGGGACATCACGGGTGGCACCACGGGGACTTGGGGACACCGAGAGTGGCACCGTGAGGACACGGAGGGGACACAAAAGGGACGTGGGGACACGGAGGGGATCTGGGGACACCACGGGGACTTGGGGACACGGGCGGTGCCACCCCGCGGGGTGGGGGAGGGGCGCCGGGTGTTCCCCTCCCCCCCCTTTCCCCCATTCCCCATTCCCAGCCCGGCCGGTCCAACTGGTTAAACTGGGAGTG